CGCGCTCTATTAAATTATGTAACTTACAAATGAAACCTGCTACTTTGTTTACCCGAAAAACTAGGAAATACTGGATGTTATTAAGATAGCCAAAAAAAAGGAGAAAATGACCTTTTCAAAGACTCTTTTTCGCTCGGATTTCATCTAAAAAAGTCATTATTTCTCATTAAAAAATCCCTCATATTGTAGAAAATTTCTTCCTGAATCTTTCGGTATACCTTGTTTTGTTGAATAAGTGATTTTTAGCGAGGTTTTTTGAAGGTGCAGTAAAACAATTTTGAGTGAGATTTTGTAAAAATGTCACTTATGATATTTAGTTAGTAGTACTTAATTATTCACTTTGGATTTATATTCATTCTGAACGTGAGCAGTTGATATAGAAAAATTATATCTGGAGAGAATTTCGTTACCAGTTAACAGAGTAGTCATTTACTCTAGGTACGTGATTTAAAGGCGTATGATCAATAACGAGTGACCCAGAATAAATGAGCCTGTCAGTATTTTGCTTATAACTTGGTTCGGATTTGTTTCCGATGCTCAATGTTTTTTTGACAGATGCGCTCTGAAATACTGTACAAAATCTTACCTAAACTATAATTTCAGAACTTCAACCAAGAAAACTAAGCCAATCAGAGGAAAGTCGAAAATAATGAAAACTGTTCAAACTGAAAACTGATTTCTTGTGTTAACGTTTTGAAAGTAAGGAAAACTAAATTAGCCATTTTGTAGCCTTGACTTCGTTCTATCTTTTAGCTACCCTGGTTGTCATGTATTTTTCCATTAGTTTTTTATATTTTGGGTATAATAGTGCTTTCAGTAAAAGTCCCATAATTTAAAAGCGTCCGATAAATAAAAGCTTTTTTGGCCGGATTTGTTTTGATTACAAATGATTGCTCTTCTCTATCTAACTCATGTTTTCCGTGTCTTGCTTCGGCATATTATTGGAAACAGGGAGGTTGTCAACTTTTGACGTATTTTTGTAACTTCATTCTCCACCACACTATCTGCTCTAAAAAAAACTTTTTACAGACCACAAGAAAGAGTACATTTGAAAGTACCAAACATAAATAAGCGGAAAATGTATAAGTTTTTACCATTCATACTTATTTTATTTCTGAAAAGAGAAAGAAAAGCTTTTTATAACTTTAACTTTAAAGTACGTTGGAAAAATTCTTCTTGTACTAGTAAAATCAATAAAAATGATTCATGTTCTTCAAATAACTAATGTTTGTTCATTCTCCTAACGTCTATGCTTACTTAATGAGTCGCTTGTTCGTCAAGGAAAAGTACTTGAATGAAAGTTTGACGATTTTGAAAAAGCTCCACTATATGCATTTCTCTACTACTTTACTTATTACATTAACAGATCATAAATAGAAAGACCTTTTTCATAATTCTCGCATTTCAAGTTAAAGATTCAACTCTTTACTCCCCTCCCGTATAGGAAATATTTCTTATATTTTTATGAGCATTAAAAAGGGTATTAACAGCTCTGTTAGAACAATACACAACTTTATATGCTTTATATGCTCAAGCCATTTACAGCCGCTGCGTGGAGATTTCTCCAATACTTCAAAAATAGCTACCACAAAGTTAACTAACTAATAGTTGGAACTGGAAATGTAGTTATCATTAAAGTAAGGGTAACTGTCTGTCAGTTACCGTTGTTTTAACGCTAACTGAAAACACAGTTACTGTAACTTTAATGGCAACTGTTTTACTAGTTACCGTTGTCGATAACGGCCAAAGAAGCTATTTTTGAAGTATTGGAGAAATCTCCACGCAGCGGCTGTAAATGGCTTCCAAGAACGCTAGTTTTCCGCTAAAACTGTTGAAACTTTCATAAATGACATGGTTTTGTAGTCTAATTTCGTTGTTAAAAACCGCAGTTACAAAACATTGAAGTTATATAATTTCGATTAGTTTTATTGACAGGCACGTGTGTGCCAAACAAAACCATGTTATTTATAAAAGTTTCAACAGCCTTAGTCGAAGCCATTTCCAGCCGCTGCGCGGATATTTCTACCATACTTAGAAAATAGTTACCACAAAGTTAACTAACTGTGTTTTCAGTTAGCGTTAAATCAACGCAACGGGAACTTTTATAGTCCTACTATATATCATGAGAATAGTGAAAATATACATTTATATTTATTTGAAATAGAAGATGAATATACCTGAAAAGATTTCCGCAATTTTGTTATTAAACGAACCGAAGACTAAGAGAAGCCAACTGTTTTATTGGCGCTCTCTCTTGATATCGTAAATTCATCCCACGTTTCGCGACCACAGCAGCTCCTATTCATGCAGTTACCAATTTATCAAAAAATATGCGGCATAAGTTTCAATGGACCACTGCTCAATCGACTGCGTTTCATGAACTTAAGAAATTATTAACCGAAGCCCCTCTATTTCTTCATTTTCCAGTGGACAAACATTCTGTCATTTTGTCGACAGATGCAGCGAAAAATGGAATTAGTGGTGTCCTTCAACAGGAGATAAATGGTCAGATGTACAATTTATATTATCACAGTCAATTGATTAATCAAACTCAACAGCGATATGATACCGGCGTGTTGCTCTGTTTTAACATAGGTTCGTTGGCCACTGGAAATGTTATATACAGCGCCACCGGCGAGATCGCCATATGTGAAGGAAAAATGTGTGACCAGACTAGGATTCGAACCCAGGATCTTGACATTCCGTGTCTATGCTCTAACCACTGAGCTACCTGGTCGACATCTCTATCCGTCACACATATCATCCACAGAGTAATGGAGTTATCGAAAGATTTAGCGCAACATTTATCCCACAAATAGCAAAACTCCAAGATATGGAACATAATAATTGGGATGAGTGCCTAGATGCCGTTGTATTTGCTTACAATACCGGCACTCACTCAACCACAAAATTTTCTCCATTTGAGCTTCAGTTCGGACGAAAGCCTCGATTTCCGACAGATTTCCCTCGACCGGAATTGACTTTCTCCAAACCCAACGATTATTTTGCTCAATTAAATAAATCTCTCAAAATCTATCATAAAAATGTAACTGAAAATATTTTCAAACAGCAACGTCTATCAAAAGTAAAATATGATCAAAATCGTCAAGATCCTCATTATGACATCGGCGATCCAGTTCTCCTTAGAATTCAAGGATCTCGTTCAAAACTCGACCCTCGCTTTCATCCAACTCCAAAAATTATTGTAAAAACTCAACATCCTACATATTTTGTTAAAGATGAAGATACACAAGAAGAATTAAAAGTCCATGTTAATGACCTCCGTGCCATCTTGGACGCCAAACTTCACTAAAATTTTAATTTTAACGTCTATCAGAAAATAAAGTATTTCCATGTGCTATATCTATTATGTCATGTTGATGCTTTTACTCTAATTTGATTGTCAACGAAGTGAAAGTTGCCATGAGAATTGGAATTAAAAACATTGGTCTTAGTGATTTGAATATGCATATGCGGGCCCTTATATTCAAATTTTCATCACATCGTTTATAAATATTGAGCGTTTGGAAAAATTCATTACAAGCCAAAAATCACGAAGGACAAGAGTTCTGAAACAGCATTTTTATACAAAAAAAAAAACGCCTTTTGTGCTGTCTCATGCGATCGAGACACTCAACCGACTTAGGTAGGATCTCGCTCCTTACGCGTAGATTCGGTTGTTCCATTTTCAACACCTTTTTTTTTTTCAACGACCATTCTCGTGAATTTCCATCATGATTTTACCATTGGTTAATTAACAATATCATTCACAA